GGCGGGGCGGGGCGGCACACCTTCCTTCGAGGCGCGGCGGCATGGTCCTCTCACAAATGAACATGCTACCCACGTCGGCGGCCTGGTGTGGCCCGACGCCATCCTGGGGCCTCTGTGTGTGTTCGGCCGGCCAGCGCAAAAGTGCGTGCGTTGCTCGCGTGAATAGTCCCCCTGCTTTTCTTTTCTTTATTTTCTTTTTTGCCTCTAGATTTTCTCCGCAGGTCATATGTGTTGTGTTGGCTAGCGAGCGGGCCGTGGGGGCAGGGGGGGGGGGCGGAGAGGGCGCCACCGCGAGGTGTCCGGAGGTGTTCCACACGCACGAGGGAGGTTCCGCGCTCTGCCGGTCAGCTAAGTAGAATGGATGGCGGCCGATAGGAGGGAGAGCCGTGGCAATGGGGAGCATGGTCTAATTCACTCGCACTGACTCCATCATTTTCATAACTTCAGTCTATATTTTAACTACTTCGCAATTGTTACAAATGGTATAGAGTTTGTTTAGTTTTTTTGAAAGCAAACAAAATGCATATTTTTCTGAAGAATTTGCATTACGTTTTGTTCGCACCTGCCTTGACCGCACCCTCCATGAAACCCCCGGCCTCCTAAACTCCCCCAGCTCCTCCCGCGTCGCTGACTTCCGTATGAAGATAAAGTGTTATTTCTTTTTTTTATCGCGTTTCTCCCTCGCGCGCTTTTTCTTTTATTTCACCGCATGCCACTGTTCTACAAATAGTAACCTGCGACACACTATGCTGCAGTGTGCGTCAGTACCTCCTGAATACTCGAGTCCACCTGGCAAGTGTGCACTTCGCCCGTACTCCGCACACACACATGTCCAGCAGACAAAGCCAAAGGCACTACTTTAACGGACTCACTGACGGTCTACTTGTATTGCTGTCTGCCTCACTCACTATCTCTCTCTCTCTCTTACACACGCACTAGCGCGCCTTTTGGCCGGTGCGCCCGGGTGCGCCACTGACCCGGCCGCGGTCCGAGCCCGCCCGTGTTCAGCATACTGAGTGCGCCTGCCCCACCCCGCCCCCACCGAGCTGTGACCCGTGCCCGTGCAGGGCGTCAACATATTTGGGCGACGAAAAAATGCCTGTACGCATATTTCATATACACTTGAAGGCATATGTGTATTTTTTCTTATTTATTTTTTAAGGCTAAGCATACTTTTAGCAGTCACTTTGAAAGACGAGGGAGGGTAGACTACAACTCCGAGGTCGGCAAACTTGCGGATCAATATTAATACACATTAACATAAAATACACATTAAAAAAAGAGTTTGAATAAGCCACAGATACGCGCCCCGCGGCGGAAATTGTGGGCAAACAAGTGGATGTATCACATAACCCCGCCGCAGGTGGTCATTCCAGTCATTCGGACATGGAGAATACCCTCTACTCTCTAGTTCTTCAATCGGCCCGGGCAGAGGGCGGGCCGGGGGGCGGGCAGTAGTGCGGCCCTGGCGTTCAGGTCTCCAGGCAGTTGTTCTGCTTAAATTCCAGGCGGTGATGCACATTGGTTTCTTGTCAGTTAGACTTTAGTTTCGAGGCGGCTAAAATAAGCCATTTCCTTTTAGGGGGAAGAGATTTCCGCCACCGCCACCATTATGTGGAAGTCCCACGGAGTCAGCGGGTTGCCGGGCCGATCACTACCCCCAACTCTCTTTCTCTCTCTCACCTGTGGATGCGGCGGTACGGTGCTGGTGACACCTACTCGGGGAGCGACTGCGTCTTGACGCTTTGCTGCGAGGATGGCGCTGGCGACACTGAGGCTCCTGCCGTGTCCGGCCGGGTTGTCACCCGCGCTCGCCGTCCGCTGGAAGTAAGTACCTCCTAGGCGGCTTGGCAGGTCCCCCTGAGGCGGGGCGTGCGGGTGGTGGAAGCCAGACCCCCCCCCCCCCACACACACACACACTCGCATCAGTCATTCCTCTGCCAAAACAAGAAGCATACCCGCGGGTTGACCCCCTCCGGCACGGTCTGGCACTTCCCTGTGGAGCGGCGCGTCGCAGGCAGAGGAGGTGGAGGAGACGAGGGGAAGGAGGGGGAGGAGAGGGAGGAGGAGGGGGAGGGGGGAGGCAGTGAAAGGACGCGACGCTCCTTATGAGATGGGGCGTGCATGTCTACATGCATATAGAGGGGCCAACCCGAACGAGCGGAGCCGAATCGTCACCCCTCGGCTATGTGACACGCCGGCGGGGCGGGGCGGCGGAGCAGTTATGCGGGGTGTGGTGGGGCCAGACGGGGCTCTCCCCCGGTTGTTTTGCTCGTACCCGATAGCGACATGCATGTATTTCGACCCGACGAGCCCAAGCAGGGGATGGTGCGCACCGTACCGGTAGGGAATGATGACTCGCACGCGCACGCGTGTATACATGCGCACAGAAGGAGAAACCGACTTGCTTGGCACGGCCCTCCCACCGTTATTACTAACTGTCATATTCACGTCAAGAGGAGAGGGTTGGTAAAATAAAAAATAACATTTTTTTTCTTATAGCAACAAATTTAGTTTATTAGTAATCTGTGATTTCTTTGAAGTTCCATTTTCTGACATCAATTAAACTTTTAGTTACATGTGTCCAGTTACAGCTAGTGAGTATGTTTTAGGTGCTAAACTTGTATGCATGATTCCCTATCAAATCTTACAGCATCATACACACAACTTTCTCAATGCTCCCGCTTCCTTTGTTAAGCGCCACCTCACTCATCCAGTTGTAACATTCCTATCCAGTAAAATTCTAGCTACTACACAGAAACACATACAACATTTACTACAAATAACAAAGATTTGATTTAAAGGGCAACAGTAACAAACAAAAAAGAAAAAACAACATAATTTATCCAATAAATGAGACCATTCACCAAAATTATCAGCAACATAGTCCTTTGACTCAGTGCCATCACATGTATTTTTCTTCTAATTTCAAAAATTTAGATATTTAGTTTCTGGGGTACTTAAAGAAATCAGTTTTACTGAAATAAACATTCGTGTGGTGATGCACATAGCCCCTAAGATTTGGCACAAAGGTTCACTTTAAATATATTTGAATTTTCTAAATATTTTTGTTTTTGGTGAAAGGTCCCATATTGTAAAATGAGTCAAGTGGCTTGAGCTCATAAAAACTAAAACCTAATGCATTGGAAAGGTTGTTACAACTCAGTATGAACCATACACAGCTCCTCCTTATCCTACCTTGCATCTTGCAAAGGAAACCAAAATAACCCCAACACAAAACATAAAAAAATAGCCTTTGACAGGTACATAAAATCACAGAACAAAGCATAATTTGATTTCCATAATTCTTTGTCACCTCGCTCATTGCCAGGAGTGAGACGCTCACTAACACAACCCCTACTGAGCTACGTCCAATGCAGGCGCAAGGCAGGAATCCAAAGTGCACAATCTAAGTGCAAAATCACACAGGGATAGAAAAGAAAACATAATCTCATTATAAAATAAAAACAACTGAATGCTGAACAGGTACACCAATTCTTTCGAGATTTTAAAAAAACATGTAGAATCGGAGGCAGCTGCATTTTTAAAACTTGGTTTTTCTTAATGGTTCACCTGTACACATAGCTTTAACAAAACACATTGACAAACTTATCAATTACGTTGTAACAAGGTAATTGGATCCCCTGCTAAAGAAGAATCAAACATTTTTCCACAAGTTTTTCACAGTAATTTACTTAAGTGCTACTGTCTTTGGTAAGCACGTGCATTTACAAAAATGCAGAGAGCAATTCTTTTTTTATATCACGGGACACAACAGCCATCATAGGCATTATTTTGGATTAATAAAATGTTATACACACATTTTTACAAGGACAGCAGGATCACAAACTCACTTGTCACAAACGTTTCACTTAAACACAACCTAAGGATCACATCACAAAGGTTTAGATTGAACCTTTCGCTTCATATGTGTAGCACAATCTTAACTTACATGGGTACAATCAGGCAATTACAAACCATTTTATGGTATAAAAAAGTTTTAAATGGATTACATCCATTGAAATAAGGAAATTCAAACAATTTTCAGGTTTTTTAAGTTTGCCAGACTAGCACTGGATTTACAAAACACGTATGAGTTTTTGTCCTTTTCCCGATTCTGCACATGCCTACAAATAACACCCTCATGCTGTAGCCTGGACCATAACTGAACAATGACCCTACTATTTTTTGCAATGCTACTGCTCCTGAAGCAGACAGCAGGCTAAACATATCACATACTCTCACATTCCTCCTGGCACTGGTCAGGCGAACTCACTACTCCACGGTCTCCAAAACTTGGAGCATAAATGTGACTGCCTGCACTAGAAGCTTTGACCCAGAAGAGAAAGCAGTTTCTGGTGAAACTTTTGGTGGCATGCAAGAAATACATTCAAACTGTTAAATTTTCAAAAAGGCATTCCATGAGTATGAAATACAACAAAATACACATTTTTATTAAAAGTTTTGAGTACACATAATTTCAAACCATCTAACAACATTAAAGAATGTTTCATCTACACACAGATCTATTTTTTTAAGAAAACAACAAAATTCTTCTTATTGTATACATACCACATGTACAAACATCAAACATACAGACTATTACAAACCATTAATGATCTCTTAAGAGAAAGAACATTCAAGTCACATTTAGCTATGTATATGTCAACACATAGATTGGACACTAGACACCACAAAAAGGTGATTGTGTTTAATTTATAAAATGTTGCAATTTATGGCCAGTAATGCGAACATGACTGCAACTGTTTCACTGTGACGCTTATTCAGGTCCAATTTTTAAGTCAGCAGCCACAATCATCATACATTGACAAGAACAACTTTGGAATGATGAAAATTTTTTGAAATCCAAACACATGGAAAAGAACAAAAGTTAACTCAAAATTTTATAATTTTAAATTATAAAAACATGTCCATATATTTGGTATATTTAGATATCCATAAAATTCCGAACATTTAACATTTGAATGATTTCAATCACTTTAATGATAGACTAATTTATACAAAATAAAATATATATATAAATATTGAAATATGTTTTGAAAGCACATATGTTATGCCAAATTGTTAACTTGAATTTTGGATACTCTACAAGGATATAGCTCTGACATTAATCTCACATCCCAGGCCACGGCAAGCCAAGCAGACACATAATGCAAGTAAGTACGGAGTTCGGACCGTTTTGTCTTGACTTGACATCTCGTTATGAAATTTTGCAGGAGCGTCATCACCCTTATAAACACTGAGCTGCATTACTCTAAATCTTTCAAAGAATATCTGACTGTCGATAGAGAGTTGGATGAAAGCAGACCTTGGCAAAATTTCATACAAATTGGTGATAAATATTCAAGGGTAGTTGTCACCTTAAAATAGTCAGATCTATTCAGCTTGACATACACACGAGGCAATATGTGTTTTATACACTGTTGAACAATACATTTGTAAATTTATATTTGCCTACACATATAAGTTTAAAGCCTAAAATGCTCGAGCTATTCTTAAAAAGGCCCACATTGATGTCAACACAGAGAAACAAACAAAGACTGCATATTTATATTACAACCTAGACTAAAATATACCGGTATAAAAAACTCACTTTACTGAGGACATTAATATTTGACTGGGCATGTAAAAAAAGAAACTTAAAACAGGTATTAAAAAAAGGGATGGTTGTCCTTACACATCTACTGACAAACATATACATAAACACAGACATTCATACAAACATTCATGTTTGCTTTTGCAGATTCACTGGCAAACATACTTATCATTCACACAATCTCACATATGCTTACACACGTACACATGCGTGTAAGTATGCCCAAAATAATTACACATATACTTTAACACATCAAAATCGATAACAAAGTATTCCATACTTGACAAGGGTGGGAGGGGCTTAATTCCGCCCCCAAATCACAAGGACGGACATGATTATGGTGTGTGATACACCGCTGCAAGTCCTTTTGATCTAGTTTGAGCGACTTAATTATACAGAGCAATGAAACATGACAAGGTAGATGTGGCTGCGGTCCCCAGTCAAGTCCCATTTTCCAGTTCAATCTGCAATAGATGCCACTTCTGATCCCACGGCTAATTGCAAGCCAGCGCTTCACAGTCTCCATACCTAGACAATCATGGTGCAAAAATTGGTGATACAAAAATATTTTCTCTGCAATACTATTTTGTTATAAAACGCATTAGACTCTTTCTATTTTTAAAAACAAACCTATTTTGTAAACAACTGTTGACAACCTGAAGCATTAGCATTGCTATCAGCTCATCAGCCTCAGACCTGTACATAAATATAGTTACCAACCTACCACATATTTTTTGCTACACACTACTTGGCTACTTATTTTCACTGACTTGCACAGTGTTAATTTAAATACACCTCAAGTAGCAAGTGGCAATTGGCACAAACCGACTGAGCATTGCTGCCACTCCATTTACACTGAGTTTGCATATCTAGCTAGGAATAACATGGCATCCATTACAAATCAAACCAACCTACTTATAAATTGAATGAAGAAACACTCAGACATTCATCTAAAGAAGCTAGTAGGAAAATCAGCAGAATGCTAATGTAAGATAATTTCACTCACTTCAATACGCTATGGTGTTAACTCAAACACCACACATCTTCACATGTCTCTCACAATCTGCTTCCTTATCATGTACTTTACAAATAATGCTTGTACTTGTTCACAGACACGTTTCATAACACTTTCCTTTTTTTGGGGATGACGTTTTCTATTTTTTCTAACACATTAAAGAAGTAAAAAAGCACACTGCAGACCAGATAGGGATAGACGTAAACACACATAGCAACTCAAGACACTAAGTTGTGGTGACACACTACATAAAGCAAATGAACTATAGACCTGAAATATTGTTCTCTCTACATCTTTAGAACAATTTTCTTTCAGATAAACTCAGTTTACTGTGATAGATAAATATTCCTCCTTCCTAGGAAACAATAACAAATCAGCAACAATTCTCCTTGGACCCATTTGGTAAGTGGGGATGAGGAACTTGGAAGATAAACCTATACAAATTACAGGTTTCCAATACTATCAACAGACCATATGCTACATAACGATATGATTGTTGTAATACAATCACTGAAAATGAGGTAGATGAGGTTTAATAAACAATAACTTACTGTACAATCTTCAACTGAAGACTAAGTGTTAGTGCTCGATTTCACTAAGAGAGGCTTCAGCAGTGTTAAATCTGTTTGAATAACTAATTGTACAAACATGTATGTTCATACATACACACAAAAGTGCACCCGTTTAATTCCATATCAACAATACAACCCGTAAGCATGAGGCAATAAAATAGCCTCAATATAAACAATAAGCCGATTATACACATTCTCTTAATAACGAAATCAAGTTAAGACATATATGTTAGGAGACTGTTTGAAACTCCAAATTAACACAATGTCAACATCAGAGATAAATGCACATAAAAAGTGCTCTGTGAGGTATTTAAGATTTGTACTGTCAAGTGTCTTCAATGGAAGCATATGTTAACAGAAAATATACTTATGTTTAAGAAATTCACCACTTTCTGTTTTTGAATGTGATGCCAACCCTAAAATTGGTAAGTAATGTGACACATAAATGTAACAACCCGTGTAAGAAGGATAAGTCTTCGTCCAGTGTCATACTGGTTAATGTACTATATCTATATCCCTGATAAATATTCCTGAGACGTTCCTCACGTTAAGTCTGAGCAATACTTTGGAACAAGCCGTCCAAAGGACGGAACACAACCTTTCTAAGCCTGTTCAAAATCGATGTCCACATTGACTGATAACAATAAGTTCCGTGGACCTGTTGTAAACTACATATGAACAAGATAACATACAATGGCAGTGATGTAACGTGTCACAACAAATTTTATTGTCAGCCATATTCTGCTAAAATTTTGACTGTAAGATTTAATTTTCTCGCTTCTTGTAATAATTAGTTTTAGTTTTCTGCAATAGTATGGAAAAAAGGTGAATCAGCTGAAGACTATTTCTTTTAAATTTCCAACAGATAGTAACAATGGCATAATCTGAATAATCTTTAACAATTAAATACTATGCTGGAAAAAATCGCCTGTACAAAAGTTTGAAATATGATTGACACTTTTGCATTTTTTAAATTCCAACAACAAGTAACTGTCTATCTCGTCTTGAATAAAAAGTAGTCAGATCTGAGAAAGAATCAGTTGATTTACTATCTAAGCAAGGCAGATGGGTCCCCTTGCTGTGCTACACCCTGACTGAACCACTTGGCATTAAAAAGCACACCACCCTGCCTATCTCTCTTTATAATAAACAACAATCTGAAAATAAAAAGCAGGGTGGCCACTGGTTGAATGCTTTGTGATGGGAACCCATTCCGCATAATTAAGTTACCCGTTTCAATGTGTTCCTGGCGACAACCTCGTGCTGGTTGAGGGGCTGGGCCAAGGCCCTATCACAGACACTTCACGTCACCCTGACAGCCACACCCTCACCAGCACTCCAGCAGTCAGTTGACCTTAAGTATTCAAGTAAATACTGAAAAACTAGTCCTATTCTAGCTCTCTATTTTTTAATGGAGAGTAAACCCGTATGTATGAGGTAGATAAAACATTTGTGACGTACACAAATAAAATACTGGAAAAAACAGCAAGATAATTTGACTGGCCCAAGAAGGCCCACAAGGTACATAATGACTGATTTGCATTGTTGCGCAAAAAATAATCACTCAAAACAGCAACAATGTTTCAACCACATTGTACTCGATGGTCTTGGCTTTAACAGATAGTTCCTCATCACACCACTTAAAAGAAAATTAAGTTCACCACAACTTAGACATCTAAACAAGGTTCAGTTTCACTAGGGGCAACAGAAGAGACATGCATATGCGATAATATAGTATAGCGTAAATCGAGAGCAGCTCTGCATCTCTTACCCGTTTTGTTGTGAAGTGTATATACACTTACAGACACATTAATTTACAAGGTAATAACCTAAAACAATACATCAATAATATAGTAGAGTTAGTACAGAAAATATGCCAAAACATCAATCAGGTGCTACAGACTTATATTATCATTTAGTTAGTCATGCAATAACCAAACACCAAAAGTAGAAAAAAAACACGTAATAACTAAATCAACAAACTAATTGAAAGGGTAAAGCACTGAAGAAACAAGTGTTAAAAATTATCCAATTCATAACAGAAAACATAGTCAATGATAAATTGGACCAGTGAGAAAAACATTCTGAAGATTTTAAAACAGTAGAAAGATAGATACCCGTATTAAGGAAACATGAAAGAATAATTGCAACATTCAACATATGATTTTTCTGATTCAATACCTTCCGTTGCAGTTATCCTACTGACACATCACATCCTACTGTATATAACATCACAAGCATTGCAATCCTCTTGGATCTATGGCACCGATGGCACGCCCTCCTTGCAGGCTCTGTTCATTTGCAGTTGATACTGACAACCATATTCGAAACAACAATCTTAAACTTTTAAAAACAAGAAAAATCTGGATTCTGATCAAAGAAATGGCAATGCAACAAGAGTCAACAGACACACAGATAAATTATAATTTATAACAATAGAACGAACACCTTGATCAGTGCATATGGATATATAGAAAAATTGCTGAGTCTCTTTAGTTACTTTGTCTTTAAGATATCTGGTTCATTTCTTGAGTGCACTGAAAAAGGTTCTTTAGATACTATATAAAATTCACAGGCATATTTGAGGTAGTTGGTTATTTGTGGGTTCTGCTTGAGTACATTATAAAATGCAGCATGGGTAGTGCATAAATGTGTTGTACTGTCTTGATGCATGTTGCAATAAATGCCCAAGACTTTTAAAGGGTTCTTGTCAAACAATATAAATACTGTAACCTTAACTTTCACAAAGATAGAACACACCTGTGCAACCAAAGAACTTATTTACTAGAGGAAATACATTGACTAGGAGCAGATAGCAAAATATTTCTGAACTACTAAACAATTTTTCTCCTTGAGAAGATTTGCAATTAAAAAGAAGACATGCAATTTCCAAAGGAAACAAAATAAAACAATGAATCCAAACATAAGATAGAAGAAATCTAGTAGCTACCACAATGAGGGTCACATAAACATGGGGGAAATATCAAAGCTCACATTCAATTAATTTTGCACAACACAGAAAGTAAAATTTTGTGATGCTTTGCATCGAATGAAACACAACAATATTCATTAGATATTTGCAAATGTCAATAGTGACACTATTTACATTATGAATCCCTCCTTTTGTTCAAACTCGCGCCAAACCATGAATGCATCCGTTCAATTGTTTAAAGAGTATGGGCCAGAGACTTAATGAATCACGACTTTTACTCACTGCATAATATGGGGAGATTAAGTTAGAAATAAACCTGAATCTGAGATTGATTTGGCACAAACGTGTTTCTTTTTTTCTTTTCCATTTCAGGTGTCAAGTTAAAAAACAATGGACCCTATTTGTCAGAGATGTTGGGGGCAGTAGACAACCAAACATAATTATTAACATGAAATGCTTCCTGAGAAAATGACTAGTTTCCTAAAAGCAGAGTACTGAAGTTTCAATCCAATACCATAAATACGACCTGTCCTAGAGTATTTCCCTGAAGCAAAGATTAATGGTGTTCTGATAATAATGGTCCCATCACTGAATGAATACCTTTCATTACGTTGTAACAGAAAACTTCTAGAATCCACAAGTGCAAAAACCCAGACAATTGAGTAATTGTGACTGATAATTAAGCATCACAGCAAAGAGAAGTAACAATTAACTATGTATCACCAATATTTACTATACATATACAGCAGATGATACCTTGTGAGATTTCAGATCCCTGAGATAAGTGATGCAATGGTGGTTAAACCACATACAATGTGATAGAGCAAAAGCCATCCATTTCCAAAAAACACATTTCTTTTAAAAAAATCAGGGAGAAATAGTAGAACTAATTTTTTTGAATGACTGTAATTACATATCCTGGACTTGGTCTTCCAGAGAAAACAATTAAATTTACATCACAGATTTTAAACAAGCACGGGTCACCCAAAGATAGCATTTGATTAGCTTTCAACTTAATTCATCACAAAATATAATAAAACTAAGGAGCAAAAAAGAGAAGGCAGAACATAACAAGTCTTAAATGTTGAGGGGGTCAAATAAAGTAATATTTACAGGCATTATGGAAAATGGAGGCTTTGCTTTAAGTCACTTTCATGGATTATCAAATATTGGCAGTATCTGTTGCTGTGGTTTGCAAATCTCTCCCTCTTTGCCTTGTCTACAAACCCTGCAAGAAAGATATAGAGAGAGAGATGAGCTAGCCAAAACCTTAATAAATGGAGTTGTACCTGAGTAGTTTTCACAGACATGAATTAAACAAACATGTCACATACATTCAAATATATAAATCTATAGATACTTTTTGTGATCTTTCTTAATATATCTTTCAATATAATAGCTATAATTATGAGGTAGTTCTGTCGTCCTGATTGAGTTTGGTTTCATCATCTCTCTTTAACAAAACAAAACAAAAATTCCAAGAAAAAAACAGGAACCTGCCATGACTTAATCATACAATATTCTCCAAGTCCACAACACAAATGACAATATACTCATGCACCACTCACAGAGAGCACGTAAATTGCTCCAAAATTTTGTAACAATAATAATAGATTTGTTTACCCGTGATTATACCCGTACTATGTTAGTATATGCATTGAGTGCTGAGGACAAAGAGGTGATCAACATGGCAATTTTCTTTTAAAGCTGCAAATTGAACGGGTAGAGGGAAGGCGCGAGCAGCAGTCCTCATGGGTTGTGGTTCAAAACTTGCGTCTGTTGATACGCCTTGAGCGTTAGCTCTGTCTTATGCTCACGGGCGATGTGTCTCCTCACTGTGTTATTCCTGGTGAAGGTACGTGAGCAGAACGGACAAGGCACTCGAATTCCTTGATGGCGTTGCCGTATGTGAGCACGCAAATTTGTTTCATACCCGTATAGCCTCTCACAAAACGGACACTGAAGTTTCTTGCCTACAAAAAAAGGAAGCAGGTTTGTTAGAAAATTATCTATTGTTGCCATCGTTGAAACAGGAAATTTTCCAAAGTGTTTTTCCCCACACACGTACCATCAGGAGTTCTTTGAGCTGTGTACCCTTTCAAAGAATCTATCTTCATTTCTCCTTGAGATTATTAAGAAAAAAAGAATGACAAAAATGTTAAATTTACGTGATAAAGTTGCCGAAATAGAAGGAGAAAGATTCAACTTACCATCAATCCCACTACCCGTAGGTTTTAAAGTGCCTAACTTTCCTGAATTCCACAATCTTGGACTTAAAATTTCAGGCTTTTTCTCGGCATTCATATGATCTTTGTAAGGTGAAGGGGCCGAACTAGGCTGTGCAGATTCGTCGACGGACGTCGACCACGTGGATGGTTCTTGTTTTATTCTCAAGTCTAAAAAGGAAACAAAAGCAAGCTTATTATAAAGACGAAAAAAAATCGTTTTCATCCCTTAACTTGTTAGATATGACCAGGGCTCATACCTTCTGCACAGGTGTCGGGGTTGTCCACGTTGGTGGAGGAGGAGGAGGAGTGGAGACTATCTGGAGTTCCTACATTGTTTCCCTCAGCAGCAGGGGGATCCACAGCAGCAGGTCTGTCAAATGAAACAGACGACGAGGCACTGGCACCGTTGTCGACAGGCCCGTCGTCGTAGCGGTGTACGTTCGGAGAGCTATGACCGTAGGAGTGGTTCTCGTCGGTCTTGGGCGACATTTCTCTGGGGTCGTGGGCGCTACCCTGGTGGTAATGCATTTCTGGGTCACTTGATGGTCGGGACGTTCTGCTATCTCTTAACACTGACGCCCGCACGGTTGATGACGATTCTTGGATGGAGTCGCTCGGACTGCGATGTGCTGACCGTTTCCGTGGATTGTCATATCTGCAAGAGATAACGTCAAAATCATAAAATCACGAAGCACGGACAGAACGCACCAGGTGGAAGGCAGCCCCGCAGCCCGCCCTCAATGCACGCATGCCGGCGGGCTGAGGTGCCACGCCCCACGCCCGGTCCGGACTGTGGGCGGGGTGCATCAGCTCGTAGGCACATTACGAACCAACTCACCCTTGCGACGAAGCAGGCTGGGTGGTAGACGAAGATCTGTCGTTATAAGGTCTGTAGCAGGACATGTAGGGGTGGACGGGTGAGTAGGGGTGGGTTGAGGGAGATGGCATTGAGGATGAGTTGTGCTCTGCCCGTTGTTGTAATATTGAACTTTCAGAGCCACAGTTGTTATTCAGACTATCTGCCACCTCTTTCAAACTTGAATTTAACCGTGCAATCTTTCGACCGGTTGGAGAGTCCAACTTGTCGCTACTGTTTGGCACATCCTCCTGCCCTTGAACAAGAGCTAGTTTCTCATGTTCGATGGACAGCCCCTTGACCTGAAACGCAATTCACAACATTATTATTATTTCTGCCCGTTTTGGAAAGATGGGTGCTACAAGTCCGAAATGAAATGCTCGTCATCTTACCTGAAGGCATTCCGCAGCTTTCAGAAAGCTGGGAAGGCTGTCTTGTGAGACATGCACTTCGCCTTTGTACATGAACTCCAGCAACGCTGACATGTTGCTGGAGGTGGTTCCATCCAGGATCACCAGGATGCTCGGGCATACTGGCGCCGTCTCAAACAGGTCCTGAAAGTGCTTGCTGCAGGCCGCCAGGATCAGCTTGTGCGCCTTAAATGTCACGCCTGCGAACAAACAAGAACGGCGCACATGACGCTTTTAGAACCAACGACGCAATAGCGGCGCAGACTAGAGTGGCCGTGAGGATGCATGCACAGAGTCGGGGAATGCTTTTTGGTCCTTCCCCCCCGCGCGGCGCGCGTGGCCCGTGTGAGAGAACGAGAGGGAGCAAGAGAGAACGAGTGGGAGTGAGCAAGTGAGCGAGCGAGCGAGCGAGAGAGAGAGAGAGAGAGAGAGAGAGAGAGAGAGAGAGAGAGAGAGAGA